TTTTTTTAATGCGTCCATCTGTCATGGTCTGTTTTCAACGTGCTTCTCCACCCCTAGCCCTCCTCAACCGTTATGATCTGCAAAGCAGCGATAATAGTGCAGCAAACGTTTTTTTCTTATCAGTAGTTAGACACTCACCCCCTCTCTTTATAAAAAGACAGTGTTTTCCATACACCTCTTTAGAGTGAAAAATTAAGGTGTATTACCCTCTGAGAAAAACAAAAATGACTACTCCTTCTTTTCACCCCTCGAAAATGGATGGGATCATCGCTAACACGCCAGTGATTATTACCGAGCAGTCTAATCTAACCAATGCACCGAGAAAGGCGACCATGCACCTTGTTCGAGTCCAGAAGCCACCGGCATCTTCTCTTCGAGGTGAAATCAAACTGCAGACAGGCTATTTCGGCTATATTTTCTTATATGGTACTGGAGAGTTGTCATTTTACCAGCTGGACGAGGGCGAGACTTTTAGCCCAGATACCGTGAAAACCCCGATCACAGCTAGTGACTGGGGTGTTCTCAAATCAGTGGTTATACAGTACCTTAAGGAGTGTTCTGACAATTTAGACCATGATGCTGCTGATGATAACCTGGACTATGATGGACAACCGGATGAGAAAATGCCTCGTTTTATGGAGCAGGCCAGGAGCATCGGGGTGCGACTGACCCCCCGACAAAGGCAGCATAAAGTCCAGCATGTCAGAATTTTTTTCATGGTCTACAATGAGATACGCTGACGCTGACCAACATGTACTTAACTTTAGCATCCCCTTTACCAGCTGCGACATTAAAGTGATATACACAATAATGCATCAGTAATTAAAATCCAATAATATGCTTTACTTTACTAATTTTCTTTTGGTTTTACTCAAGTAACATTTTAAATGCGGGACTTTAACTTCTAACAGAACATTTCTACATAGTGGTATTGCTACTTTTACCTAGGATCTGAGTACTCTGAGTAAGCTGCTGGGGATTTACATTATAAGCCTGCCCAGTGAGAGTCACTGGCTGTGTAGCATGATGAGCATGAGCGAACATGCACAGGTGCACTTCGCAAATATTTGGAGGGCTTTTATATGTCTACAGATATTTGAATGATATTTACATGCTTTTTCCTTTCTGTTTTGAACTCGACATCAGGGTGGGATCAGCCATTCAGTGACTTTGATATATAGATCTATACAAACTGGCACTTAGTGTATGAGCATAGTCACACTTAAACATCAAAGCCTTTTAAATTATTCATTTTCTTTCTGGTTACAAGATATCACAAAATCTTCAATTTAGAGTTGCATTTTCCTTAGAACAGGGCACATTAGTGCAGCTGGCGCTGTGTATGACTTTTGGATTACCGTTAGGCTGGGTGGGCACACTGCTGCCTGGCAGGAAAATCTGAATTGACTGAGTTGCATGTAGCCATGGTGACAGATCTTCACAAACATCCCAGGAATGGCTTTCAGGGCACGTTTACTCTGTGTCCATTCACTTAGTTCCAAACCTCTCTTGACTGATGGGTAACAGTTCAACCTTCTATATACAGTACTAAATGAGAAACTTAAAATTAGACAATTGAATTTGACTGTATGAAAAGGCAAAGAAGAGAGACTGCAGGCAGGATTTCACTCTGTGCTGAAACAAAGGTGTGAGTTTTCTACAGGCTGTCTGCACAAACTCAAAATCTGAGTTGATCAAAACAGTCCCCCAGATCCACCCATTATTAATACCATTTATCCTAACAAGGGTCTGGAGCCGATCCCAGCTGACATTGGGTGAGAGGTGGGGTACACCCCGGACAGGTCACCAGTTTATCATAGAGCTGACAACCCCAGACAACAACACACACCCAAACTCACTCCTACAGGCAATTTAGAGTTGCATGTGTTTGGACTGTGGAAGGAAGCAGGAGTGCCCAGAGAGAGCCCACGCAGATACAGGGAGGACATGCAAACTCCACACAGAAAGGCACCGGACTGGCCTGTGAGGCAACAACGCTAACCACTGCGTCACGGTGCCGCCTGGTACCCCAGATGTTGTGACAATTTTTTTTCAATAATTGCTTCATTGAAAAAATCTAAAAAAAGTGGCCAACAGCGGAGCAACACAGGAGACATGTAGTTTAGAGAGAGAGAGAGACAGGGGTTTGGATTTTAACAGCAAAGATGATCCATCAGCTGCTGGACCCTTTATGCCATTTTATTAGACATTTGTAGCACCAACTCAGCAGCTTGGATGGAAACTAGTCATTGTTATAGTGACTGATTTCAATAATCTGAATTGTTGGTTGCCTGTTTCATTCTGGTGCCAGTGGCTCCACCTCAAAGTATTTACTACAGTAGTTATACAGACACAAAACACAAGGATGCTAATGCTCTTAGCCAATGTGTGAAATGCAGCATAGAGATATTGAGCTTTATGCTACAGTCTTTCTTGTGAGTTGGTATGTCCAAAGTACATTTAGTAAGAAAAAGCTGCTACATCAGTGATCTCTGTAAACAACCATAACAGGCAGGAGACAGGATTTAATCACTGAAAGCAGTTGTAATGATGATCAATCAGAAACAATAATGATCCTACCTTGTCAAGCAACTCAAGGTATGTATAGAAATATGCAGTAAGTACTCTGATTCTCTATCCAATAAATGTAATAAATTGACTTCAAATAAGTGACTTCAAATTTCCAGTTTTCTATTTTTCCATTTTACATGTAGAAATCTGAACTGATAAGCTTGTCACAAACTGGTCATGACTGGATTTAATCAGATCCTTCTTTGAATGTAAAATGCAACAACAACAATCATATCTATTTTTTTTTTTTTAGACTGCGTAATTATCTAACTGCCATTGTGATTTTGGGGATGTGATGCATGTTCCACTGGCTGCCGATCTCCACACCCGAGATAAGATCACGGGTGTGGAGGTTGTCTTGGGTGTTTCCTGCCACTGGAATAGTTTGAATAGTTTCATTAATAAAAAGCTTTAGGGACTGAGCTTCAGAGACCTGATCCGGACATCAGGAGTCACATACATTAAGTGGTTCCAGGACTACTGTGTGACTGTGTGTTTGTGTGATGCATATAGTTCATGTGGACGAGATTTCTGAGTCAGCTATTTTGACTTACCCACTGACAGATGCATTAGTTCACTAATAGGATTTTTGACAGATGCATTAGTTCACTAATAGGATCTTTAGCTTCTGCATTGTACAAAACTACCTATAGAATTTACTCAATAAACGTGAGGACTCTGCATGTAGTTGGTTTGGGTAGATCTGAGTAAAGAGTACCCAAATTTGACAGCTATGACACACTAAATTAAATTAGGTGTGGTCTGACTAACATTTCTCGGTACATTACACAACTAATTTCTTATAAAACCTGAATAAGAACTTCAGCTCCTTCAGAATGCTGCTGCCAGAGTTTTAACAAGAACCAGGAGAACTGAGCGCATCACTCCTGTTCTAGTTAAATCACAGTGCTATGGGGCCAAAATACATTTCTGATATCACTGAAGAATACAAACCCAGCAGGGCTCTGAGATCCTCAGGAAGCAGTCAGCTGGTAGAAACAAATGGGGTGATGCTGCTTTTAGCTACTATACTGAATACAGGACAAACTGGCTTCCTGATGACCCAGCTCTAGCCACTTTTAAGTTTAAACTGACAAAGCTGCTGTTTTCTTGTGCCATTGACTGACTGGTTCCTGTGTTGTATATGGGGAAACTTACATCTTCTTACTGCTCTGTAGCTGTACTATAGTCCTGTTTCTGATTGTTTTTTATCTTTGTCTATTTGTTTCTGTTTTAATTGTATTTTTATTACTTCATTTTAAACATTTTATGTTTAGTGCTTTATGTTTATTTTGTTATAATTGATTTTATTGTGTGCTTTTTAGTCTAATTGCTTTTAATGCACGCCAACTTACACATACAGCTGTCATGTGCATGTACACTGGGTTGCTCAGTTGTACTGACCTAAATCCATGTCACCTGTTGTTGTAGTTGGATCCTCCTAGGACAAAAAAATATGTAATTGCTTCATTGTGTTCTGGATCTGCCCTGAGGTCTCATGCAAGTTGGACGTTTCTGGAAAACCTCCAGGAGACATCCTGATCAGATGCCCAAACCATCTCAAGTGGCATCTTTTGCACAGGTTTTTTGTTTTTTCTGGACATTTGATACTGTCATGATCGGCAAATAAAGCTGCCGATAATGTCGAGGGTAAACTCAATAATAAGGCCAGATGGGGATAAGCAGAACACTGTCTCTTTACTAACAGCACTGGTCACAAATAACTGTACACAATGCAGAAGTCTGATTAAACAGGTATCACACTCAGGTCGATAATTCCAGTCCAGGGTCAGAGCCAGCAAACTCACACATCTGAGGTATCCACAAGAAGATTGATCAGTAAGGGAAGTCCATAAGTCGAAGCACAGAATACGATCAGAATCAGAAGGGTTAGGCAGTAATCGGTGGTCACAAGGAAATCCGGGGTCAGAGCTAGAATAACAGGCACAAGAAGAAACGCTGGAAAGTCTGAACATTAGTTAAAATGATCTGGCAGATTCCTGGTGGGAGGAAGCTACCTATAAAGGGGTGAAAACGGGTGCAAGCAATTGTTATTGATTAGGGTAAAGAGTCCGTAGCTGAGGTGAGACTGTAACAGGACGTGGTGTCAGAATAAAAGCAGGATACCAGATGCAGAGGAAACAGAATCATGACAGATGTTGTCTGTAAGAATAAAGGAAACTGATTTTAATCTGTTTGTATTAGTGATGTTATTGTCTTTGTTATACTCAAAAGTTACGATCACAAGTGAGGATTAGACTGTGAATGGACCAGTGAAATTGCCCAGCCAGTATGCTCTCTATGTGCCTCTGTAGCAGAAGTGGTTGAGGAGAGGTCAGGGCATTATAATCAGCTGTGTTTACACTCTCACAGTCTGATTAGCACTCATACATGGCTGAGTGTGTGCCTGCATGCATGACTGCTGACAGCCTGCCGCTGGTCAGAGGAATGCTAATGCTTGATCCTGGTGCTCCTGATAGATTTAACCCTCCATTACCTCCATGTGGCCTGAATGAGGCACAAATCAAAACCAGGACAGACAGACTGTATGTGCATGAGTGGCTCAGTGGAGTGAGGTCACTGAGACAATGACACACTGAGGGAGGAAGGGAGGGAAGGATGTGTCACCGAGCTTCCAGAGTTTGACTGGGTTTGCTTCTCCTGTCACTGGTCTGCTTGTCAGCGTTGACTCATGAGGAGGAAGGATGTCCTTCATCCACTTTGATGTTAGCTTTAGCCCCTCATAGGCTGATGATCACAACTACTTTGTGCCCAAAACTGCTCACTGACTTTTGCCACTGCAGGTCTGAAGGGCAATACCAGTTCTGGTATTTTGTGCTGATATTCAGCATTTTAAATTTAGTTTACTTTGAACTGAACATTTTTATAACAAAAACAAAGCACAGTTGCAACTTTTTACTGTGTGAAAACGGATATCCTGGACTTTTTTTTCCTTTTTATCTTGACAAGACAAAACAAAAATCTAACAAACAAAAAACCCTATTGCATTAATAAAATCCCATCTCAAACTAATAAAAACAAACAAACTGTCACAAATTTTCCTTATCCCCATTAAAATCAAATTTAACAAAATATTAATTTGGAAGAAACATTTTTCCTGTATCAGAAGCCTCCCATTTACCATTGTCCAACTTCACTGAATTTCTCTCCCGTCTTATAGTAACTTGTAGTGTCGTTGTTTCTCTTTGCAATAACCCCTTCTGAAATTAAAAATCATTTAAGCAAGGACCTAAACTGATTAATATTCAAACATTCCACCCCTTCTGCCTTTAAATAAATGATTTCTCTAACAAAATAATGAAATCAATAATAATAATCAGCCAATGTGATTGACAACTTAATTTCAGAACACATCTGCTGTATCCCAACCCAGAAGGTAGAAACAAATGGGAAAAGCCTGAATAAATGTTCGGCTCATTCAAATCAATAATATTCCTAATTTTGAATATCTCTCTTTAGGCCCAAAAAACTGACAGATTAATTTATTTTGGAAACTTATTATTGATATGTCTACTGTTTTTATATACATTAGTCCAAAAACCTATTTTCATAAAATAGGACAGTCAAAAATGTCTTCCCACTTTTTAAATATTTTACATGGAATCTCTCACCAGGGTCTAGAGGACAAATCAAATGTATTTATCTTTTGACCTTTCAACCATGAGTGGAATGACCTCAAGATGGAATTTATGCATCATGTAATAAACACAAATAGAGATCCTGTATGGAAAATATGTTATAATAGTGCACAAGTTTTGAACAACCTGATGGTGCTTGTGCTGA